CCAAAACCAACCATGACAAAAAACATAGATAATCATTACTAGAATGTGATGACTGCAAATATTGAAAAAAATAATCTGATCAGATTTCTGAATTTTTCAGATTTATTTATACAATATTTTAAACTGGGTCACTTCATAATAACAAGATATAACTTGTTACTTTCTATTCACAAAAAATAACCCATCACAACACCTGCAAAACGGCCTCATAGTTGAATGTAAAAATATTTATACATTGTACACTGAAATCTACAAGTGTACTAATACAACTTAAAATAGTGTACTTCTCCATGTCACAATAACTTGCCATAAAACGTCAGCTCACAACAGTAGCATTCCTCTCTAATATCTCTATACATATAACTTAGCGTTCATGTTCATGAAATACATATATAAAAGCATAAATTATATAAAAACTCTTCATCACCTATACTTTTGCGAACTGTGCTTGCCTGGAGCTTGTGGAGAAACTTAAGAAAATAGAGTCACCCCTAAGCATGACCAGGAAACGTATGAATTTCAAAGAATAAAACAAAGACATATTATTCATGGTTTAAGTTGTCAATGCAGTGAAAAGAGCATAATTTGCAGAAATCAACCCATATAGGTAAGCATTATGTTTATACTCAAGCATTGGATACTTTCTCATGAACATTTTGATAACAGCAAGGCTCTAAGCTCTGAGTCCGGTAGCTGTGACGTATGGAGGAAATGGCTCTTTTAAAACAGTATTCAGTATATGTTATTATTTCTTGTCGCGGACCATCGATATTTATGAATATCGAATTAACTCACAAATATCAAGCGAAAAGCGTCGAAATTTAAAACAGGATATAAAATGTTATAATACATAATAAGTAAATAACCCTGTAGTCCGTTATCAAGTCACACAAATATATACTAATTAATTATGTCAAAAATATCAAAGATATTTTGAAGAAGATATGTCTTTATAATACATTTTATCAAATATAACGTCAACAAATATGTAAAAATAATTTTCAGTAAAAATTTGGTGCTGACTATATCTAACAGTGGAACTGAACAGTGGAACTATTTTAAAATATTTACCTCTTTCTTAGTTATGTCCCAACTGCACTGACACAGATTTTATACAAATGTGACTGAGTGTGAACGCATTGACAAGAGTTCTCAAACCTTAGGCGAGTTGTTAAGTTACGACAGAGTTTGTATAATCAAACCCCTTGATTAATATGTAAGTTTATTGGTAAACCAAACTGTGTATAGACACACTTTGGCACTAAACAGAGTATATAGACATGTTTTAATACTAGATAGTATATAGACGTGTTTTAATACTAGATAGTATATAGACGTGTTTTAATACTAGAGGGTATATAGACGTGTTTTAATACCAGATGGTACATTTATATAGACGTGTTTTAATACTAGAGGGTATATAGACGTGTTTTAATACCAGATGGTATATAGACGTGTTTTAATACTAGATGGTTTATAGACGTGTTTTAATACCAAATGGTATATAGACGTGTTTTAATACCAGATGGTATATAGACGTGTTTTAATACTAGATAGTATAAAGACATGTTTAAATACTAGATAGTAAATAGACTTGTTTAAATACCAGAAAGTATATAGACAGATTTTAATACTAGAGGGTATATAGACGTGTTTAAATACCAGATGGTATATAGACGTGTTTTAATACCAGATGGTATATAGACATGTTTAAATACTAAATAGTAAAAAGACATGTTTTAAAACTACATGGCATATAGATATATCTTAACACTAGATAGTATATAGACATGTTTAAATACCAGATAGTGTATATAGACATGTTTAATACTAGATAGTATATAGACATGTTTTAATGCCAGATAGTATATAGACATTATGTATACTAGATTGGCATATTTTATGAAGATTGGGTTCCGCCAATTCCCTTGTTTACTATATAAGGTATATTGGTATATTAATATTGTTGTGCTGGATTGCCATACAGACAGATATTTAATGTATCACATAGATTATCAATTCCTTTGATTAGCATACAAGGTAAATCGGTATAACAGTCTGTATATGGACCTAATTCAATGTAAATATCGGGCCACACATTTTCGTTCTTGTCATTCTAGGTATATTGGTAAGTTCCATTTTTAGAGAACTAATTTGATCTAGACCTAGTACCCTTTATTAATATGTAGGACTTACTGCGTACCAGAATGTATAAAGACATTTTAATCTACATCTAGGACCGCCAAGTCCTTTCATTACAGGTAAATATCATACATTATTGTACTATAATGTATATGCATAAATCCATTTAGTTTCTGGATAAGCTGCACTCGTATATAACAGATTGGTATGGAGACATAATAAAGCTCTAATACCACAAACCTTTTGATTGTTATGTATTGCGATAAACTATAATGTCTATAATGCTATTATATTTCATCTAAGGATTATCTAAATTAGTATTCAAAAGTTCAAGAAATAAGACATTTTCGAAACCTTAAGGTGAATAAAAAATTGCTTTATTTAACAGGATATGAGCTACATCACATATTAAACCAATTTTCTTTTCTTTAGATGGTTAGCATTATTGTTGACTTTTTATTTGATCATTCCAAGAAAACTGTTTGATATTTATGCATAAACTTATTAGAAGAGACGGGAGTAAGATACGGACACTAAAAAGAACCCTATGTTACTCACAGTTTAACATGTCCTATAAACAAGTTTTACATCTTATAAATTACTCAAATAATTTAAAATATTTCTAAAAATTTCAGAAAAGCAGTTTCATTGCTTCCGAACGCTTTTTAACAGTTTTCTGCTTATATAAAAACATTTGCTCGTGTTGAATTCTCAAATAAATACAACAGGAATAAACTGTCATTGTAAATCCTAGGTAAGTATTATATTATTACTATGTTAGCATCACGAACTAGCAATTCGCTTTAATTCTAATATAAATCAGGTAGAATCGTCAAACACTTAAGTCATAACGAGCTAATTTAAAACTTTAAACTTTCCAAATATTGAATTTTCATCTGAGAAACCTGTCCAATATCTGTTTTCCTCTGGCCTTAATTACAGGTAAAATTTACCTGGATGAACCTATAAGGTACGTAATAGATGATTCGCTATGAGTACTACGTAATAGGGTGATCAGATAGGCCTCATCAGATAGGCTACATATTTCATTAAGTTAGTAGGAGTTTGGATGTAATCTCTAGTACCCGTGTCGAGGATGTGGACGTGTAACTGAGTGTGGCCAGGAGGAACACGCCATCACACATACACACTCATTGTGTGGCAAGCGCGTCAAACTTCAAAGCTATTTGGTGTACATACCAACTGTTTGATCGTAAAACATATCATAATTTTAAAATTTAAAGGCTTTTAAAATTTCACCATTGAATCTAAAATCATCCTTGCGTGATTTTTTAAATCCTTACAATCTTTCTATCACTGGAATCTTCACAGTGTTTATTGGTCTTTTAATGCTTAACAGAATCTCTATTCTACACGGTAAATATGAAAATATATAGTGGGAATGTTTTGGAGATAATATCAGTAATTCAACACGTATATGGAGATACACAAATGACCCTCTTCTCGACCAGTGGGTAAAGTCACCGGCGCTAATAGCCCCTCGCAAATCCCTTATGCTAACGCGAAAGACTTGCACGGTTAAGATTTATTTTGATAAGTACATAAAATCATATTTGATGGAAAGTTTAGAGACGAGGGTCCCAGTACAGCCTTACGGCTTGTATGTCGGAGAAAGATGAATAGTTATTAAGTGACTCGACTAACAAACTACACTCTCATAACGCTCAACATTCCTTTATATCTGAATTTAATACATCGTTATAAATGTATCAAACGAGATTGAAAAAGTAACTACATATTTCAGATATTAAAATAACACTTTAGTCGCATATAGAATTATAAATTAGATTTGGAAAAAAAAATCGCACACATTTGAGACTCAAAATGACAATTTATCATCTTATTTACACATCTGCATAAAGAGTTTGCATTCGTTACCGTAGAAATATTTTTATTTATGATGTTGAAACGTTTTAGCAACCTTATTATCTACAGGCTATTTAGGATGTTAATGATGAAATGTCGGTGTATTAAACTGTTACATTACACGTTTGGATGTGGAACTGAGCCCTCTGAACCCATTCAAATATTTTAAAAAAATATCTTATTCGACATTTAGTAACCTGGAAAGGTCATATTAGTTTTTAAATCTAATATATACGTTATCGTTATTTATTTGTGAAAATGACTCAAAAATGTTCCGCGAGTAGCAAATTTAAAGAAATCCTCCACGAATTTACAAAAGCTGCATTAACTTACATGGATAAAAGAATTATCTAAGTGAAAATTTTCATAAGTAGCTAATTTATAAACATAATATATATATGTTAGAATCTATAATGAAAATGCAGTTAAATATGTTTTAAGAAAATTGAAAATAAAAATCCTTTTGCGGTCTCAGCTTTTGTATTTCATAAACTTATGAGAGTGTTATACTCAAATCGGGCTGTAAATATTATAAAACATTATCATAATATCCTTAATGTTTTCCAATTTGAATATTTCTAAGGTTTATTATATTATTTGATATATTGTATTTTTGAAATTGCCATAAACTTTGATTCACAAGTGTCTACAGCTTAGAAGGAAATTCGCATTTATGGACAAAAGACAATGTCTGCGTCCCAGTTATGTCAATCTGTCTAGTATATTAAAACCATAGAAATATCACACTAACCTTTGCTGATTTCAGTTCAAGGAAACCATAGACGGAAATTTATATCATATGAATTGTGAACAATAAACTCGATCATGTTGAATTCTTGTTGGAGACTTTTTCGAAAATTGATTTTTAGTTTATTCTGCCCTGACCCGTCCCATTCTGACACCATCTCGCACCAATCCCGTCCCCCCCCCCCCCCCCGGGCCCCCCCCCCCCCCCCCCCCCTCGGGCTCACCTCGACCCTCTCCTCCTTTAGTTCCACCTTCATGGCCAGCTCCTCCCGAAGAAGGACGTCTGGGTAGTGGGTTTTCTGGAAGGTTCCTTCAAGCATCTCCAGCTGTTCCTCGGTAAAGATAGTCCTGTGTCGTCTCTTCCGCTTCTGTCCCAATTTCTCGATATCCAGTGAGTTAAAGATACCATGGAAAGGATAGTGGTATCGTACTGAAAAACAATAAAGGGTAAATACTTAGACATCAACATAATATACACAGCATCAGTTGACTTAATTACTTAAATATCCTCCCACTATACACTGTACAATTTAGTCTCTTCAAAATAAACACAATATACACAACACACGTTAGTGTAATAACTTAAAGATAATCCTTATATAAACATGATTAGTTAGGTTAATACACAGGTTAATCAATTAAAAATCAACCAAATATACACAGCACAAGTTAGGTCAATCACATAAACATCAACTTAAGCATAGAATAACACCAAGCAATATAACATACATTTAGAATTGAAAGATGATTTAAAATTATTTCAAAAAGCATAACATAGTTGTACAATCCAATTTTCAAGCATTTTCTAAAAGGTACATCGACAGCAATGCCAAAAGTGTTGATAACTATATTTTTTCTAAAAGAGACTCAGAATTTCAGCATTTCTCGTGAACAGATTTCTATGAACACAATAAAACAATTAGCAGTGATTTGCGGTTTTCTAGAATCCGTAGATTTTAACCGCTAATCTTTTTCTGGTTATTCTGCACTGAAAACATTGTTTGCGTGCGATCTGTGCGTAGATAAGTAGTAATCTTACCGAGATAGTCCCTATGGAGGGGCGAGAGGTTAGGGAAGGTGTGTGGGGCGAATCGTCGGGTCGGCTGCTGAGGCGGCTGCTGTGGCTGAGGAGTTCGTGGAGACAAGATGTTCTCGATTGTGAACAAGGAGGAAGATGTCGGTGCGGAAGCGGCCAGAAGTCCTATCTGGTAGTTCCTGAGACAGGCCAGGTGTTCCGGCGTATAATGATAAGGAAAGTGCTGCATGGCGCTGTGTCCTACACCTTAACACACCACAATGTCTTAAACTGACGCTTCTTCGTCTTATGTCCCTGTGTGTCTCCGGAGAACACCTGTCTAACGCTTGGCAAAGAAAGCTATCACAGACACTCCGCAAACCCTCACATGTAACGTTCCCGACTTTTCCGGTCAGTTCGGAATAAGTCTTGTCCGGCCAGGGAAAACCTGTAAACTAACAGTATCACGTCACCAACTTGAGAGGATTACAGGGAGAGGTTTGGACGATCAGGTTTCCTTCACTTGTGTATGTATCTGTTTAATTGTGTAGTGTTAACGACTATCCATTCAGCGCTTACTCACAGAACGTAATCTTAAAGATCCCCGTAATAGGCGATTCAGCAGACATACCCTATAGCAATTTTAGGAAGACCCAATGAATTCTCTCTGTGTCGTGTCTAAAGAGGCAGCCACCCGTGAGAGCTAACCAATCGCTGATCAGAGGGATATTGCTTGACTCCACCCACATTTCAATTATTCATATTTTTGGTGTATATGTCCAATATTGATGCATTTTCTGTTTTATCCGACAAATCATGTTAGCGGGCTAGCGGAAGACGAGCTGTGTCACTTTTCTAACGCGGACAAAGTAGGCACGTCGCGTATACGTTACACACCACAATTTATTATATGAATTATATATTGAACGTGATTTTATTCAAAGCTAGTTATATGTTTTTTTGATAAATATTGATATAAAATCAAATTTAGAAAGTGGTGTTTGATTTCTGAGAATGATACGGGGATCTTCAAGAAATCATGAACGTCCACAATTTCTTGAGAGATAACATTAAAGCGTTCTTTTGTTACGGCCGATCTTCAGAGTTTTCAAAAATGTATTTTGTCTCCGTAAATGTCGGCATTATCCATATTATCACGGTAGAGGATTTATTTGAGAATGAGAGTTTTACATGATAATTTTGTTCTTTCAACTTTGCATCTTAAAGAATTATATCTGCTGTATAACTCATTGTTAGATCGCTATTATAAGTGTTCCTGTTTTCTTTAATTTTATTTTATAGGCGCATCTCTGCTGAAAAATAGTAATGATGTGGGAATTAAAATTGAATATTTTCCCTGACAAAAATAACAGTACGTATGGCCCGTCTAGCAGTGACTGTCCGAGTAAAAAATAGCTCGTATAAATTAAACATCGGACTGAAATTGTTATGAAAACTGACACTGTATTTTACTCCAATTAAAGAATTTCCCCCAATGAATTTTTATGTTTAGGTGTTAGGATATTAATTCAAGGAATGAATCACTTCGGTCGCTGTATAGCTGATGATAACGACAATGTCCATCTACATTAATGTTATGTAATATATATATTGTATATGTTTGTAAAATATTACCTGTATTATTGAGCTTTACAACTGATGGAATAAACAGATAAAGATTCGTTATGTAGACAGTGCTTTTATTCTATTTGGACGGCTCTTTTAGTTGTAGTTGAGCCGAGGTAAATTTCTTAAATTTTCATTTAAAAATCACGTTTCAAAAGTAATAAACATTTCAAAGATAGTGTTATCTCAAACGTGTATTTGGGAATTGTACTGCATATAACTGATTACACCAGTGAAGAAATTCAAGTACGTACATGTATGAATATGTATCACGTGTATGCTGTATAAATATGCATTATTTTGTATTTGTGGTAAACATACCAGTATTCGCGCAAATATATTGTTATCGAAATTAAGTAACTAAATTTATCAAAATTAAATTTCACATGAATATTTTCTTTATTGTGATACATTTTTGTATTTAAAAAATTGAATGTTTGCATTCTATGTATGCAAATTAGTCCGACATTTACGGTGCTGTACGCTCCAGCTTGGTATCTTGTAACTTGACACTGTAATACCGTACCATGTTTATCTTGTTATCTAAAATATAAAATATAAACGATATTTCCGCCCAAACTAGCACACAATAACAACGATGTATGTTATGTCAATTTCGGTTGAAATTTAAAGACAGAAATTAAACATTGCCATAAGTATACAAAACAACATTGCCAACAAATTTCAATAAGTGATCTAAATTTATTTCAGATTATGCATGTGCTTCCTTACGCAATTCTATTTCAATATCAAGAAATATATTTAATTATTTATTGAAGAATAAAGTGGGGAAAAAATCCCGCTACTATATCCAAAGTATTTAGAGTATGAAACTTTTACAACACAGTGGACTTCTAAATTGACAATAAGCACAGGTGACGGTAATTAATCAATATTTTGATAATCATGGACATGTTTTCTACTGCAGTGTCACGGATTCCTAGAATTGTGCTCCTGTCGATTGGAAAACAACACAGTCAATATTGGTCAAACCGATTATGTTGACACGTGCTAAATGTAACGATTAACTTGCTTTTTGTTGACCAATCACCTATACAGGAACGCAGGTAAACAATCAAAGGTAAACAACCACAGGTAAACAATGTAAACATTTACATGTAAACAAGGAGGTGAATCGATGGCGCGATAAGTGTGTGTCAAAGTGACTTACTGTTTTATGTCTCACACGAAACAGGTATGCGGTACCTTGGCGTTAAGTCCGAGGTTTTATCTGGAGCCCTACCCCCGGGCCACGGCCGGGTATGGATGACCGATCGTCAATAAAAGTGCTGTGACTCTCATCGGTAGCGCTGCTACCCAATGTTTACATAATTATCGTGTCACTTCCTTGGTTAACACTAAGTAAGGTCAATTGAGAAGTAAATCAGCTAAAATGCTTGTTGTAAGGTATATCACAAATACGATAATTTGTTGTGTCAGTTTCAGCATAATCTCATGTCATGAATAAACGAATAATTACGAATCAAAATAAAAAAGGATAGACCATGAATATATATTACATACATTTTAGTTTAAAGCACAAAATAATTCAAAAGTATATTAAATACGTTTTCTTGATAAACAATCATTTAAAACGTTTATGAATGTGTGCGGTTAATCAATAAAAACTACTTCGATTTCACTTCAAACCATTAATAAACATGAATTTTGTAACTGATACTAAATAGTTCAGGTGGAAACAAACTGTGTTAAAATGATGTGAGATGCTCTCAACTAGGCTATATCTACATAATTGGTACCGGGGCCATATTTCTTTGAAAACCTTTTATTGGCTCATAAAAATTAAACTTTTTATCCTAACAATATAATCTGCTATTAATAGTACCCTGTAGCTTTCTTTATTCTTTGATTAAAGCGATGAGAAGATCATCGTTTGACTAGATAAACCGTGCTCGGCAGATAGCATCGGTGTTAAAGTCGTATGTAAAATTAGTTCTAAAGAAAAGGAGACATTAAATTCCGGACACGAGATACATGTGTCAGATTACCTATGAACAGGTAGGAAAAGTGAATGACCTGGGTGGTCAGATACACTGACCTCACTCACAATACCCGTGGGTCAGTGTTTTATTGGCCGAAATGGTGTTATCCGCCTAATCATCGACATTTTATTGCTGTCTCTGTGGAAAATTGGGCACTACAAAGACACCGCTCTCCCGGGTATGTCATTATATACCTGTAATCATATCTACATCATACCTGTGTCGTATAGCTATATCATTTCTCTAATATACAGCTATATTATACAGGTCGCGAAACTAAAACTGTCGAGTTAAAGGATCCATTTGTGGAGAGCGGAGGTACCCGAAAACGCTCCAAAATCCGGATCCCGTACCATTCATTTTCCGACCTTACAGAGACATTTTTTCTGAAGCAGCGAAACACATGAACATTCATTTTTAACACAAATTCATATTAGATATATTTTTGACATTTGTATTACCGAAAATGTTATCTGAACTTGACTCATATTCCTTTTTGACAAAATGATAATCATAAAAAACAATATTGCAGAGAATTTTTTGATATCATAATTCTTCGACCAATCAAAAAAGTGCTTTAAAAACGCGCCAGTCGGTGTCGTTTTTGAGGTTACCACATAACTTTTAACTGAACAATGCTTTTAATAAGCAACATAAAATCATATTATGATGACACCATCATTAAGTGAAGAGGATTTATAATACAAATTTAGAATGAAGTTTGACTTCATCTTTTTTCATCAAATTAATAAATAATAAATATTAATATCTACATTATATAACTTAAAAACTTCCACTTGATCACACAATGTTATGACCATATCTATTTGATCCAACTTACAGTTTATCACTTTCACCTGGCAAAATATGTAAGTTACTTGGCAAATTTAATTGATCTTAGCGTCGAAAAAAATCCTCTCTATCTCAAATCTACATTTTTTTTTATGCTCAACATTCTCACATTGATATCCACAGCTAATCTTGCTTTGAATTGATCATACCGGGTTTCATTTATCACGAAGCTTTGTATGTAAAATATTAAACTGTTTAAACATATTCTATTGTACAAAGATACAAATAGATTGGACAACAAGTTATTTCAACTTAATATAGGTCTCTCCTAAATACATATGTACATGAATATTTAAATATTAAACATTCGATTTTCAAATGAGAAATAAGTACACTGCAATGCTAAATTAAACAATGAAGAAAAATGGGTGGACAACAGGTTATTGTGCATTGGATAAAATGTTGGAGTTTGCCCCTATTCTTCTTTCTGATAGTTTCTCTGTAACAATCCGAAAATGTTATTTTTTGTTTTAATGTTTTTCTTACTATGGAAAACCTGTAACCATGCGCATGACACCAAATTGAAATTTTAACTAATCTGTCCGAATCAAGCATAAAAGATTTTACAAGACATTGTACTTTTCTTTTTACTTTTAGTTTCTGTAAAAATGATTTCTGAATCTATGTGATAATAACCTTTTGCATCCGAGGTCAAAGTAAATCTCAATTCTGCCCGTCACATTTTGAATCTATACTTTAAGCATTAGTAATAAGAAGAATGCTGTTTTTTCAGGACTACTTGTAAAGGTACGAACAAATTTGCTCCAACAAATTACGACTTTTAATCATTAAGTTGGTTGTTTGGATGTCAAGACGAGACCAAGAGGACGTTTGTAACAATTTTCCGTTCACCTGTTAGATGTAGTACAATGTATATAAGAAACGTTTCCCTTTTACATTCATATGTAATATTGTTTTCACCTAGACAACGGACAAAATGTGCATGAATTGCAATCTATATTAAACCTATATTACAATGTAGTTGGTATTTGATTGCCAACTGGACATTAACAAGAGGGCGCTTTTAAATGAAGAACCTACACTTTGTTTTCAATTGAAAATATAACCAAAACTTGTCCTTTCAGTGGCGGTTCCTACTGTGTTACAAAGAAGATCACAAATGATTAAGATATTTATTATTGGTTGAATATCTCATATCATTTTATTGATATGC